AGCATTTGCTACTCTTGCTACGTGGTTAATCCGCTATTGGATACATAGTAGACAAAAAATTAAAAACTTAAAAATTAAATTACTAGGTGAATGCTCAGAAGTGAAACACCTACATCCAAATATACACACATCATATTCTATATAAAATTTCCCACTTATCGTGATTGTATTTTTAAAAATCTTTCAATATACGCATTTTTCAAATATTTATTGGTTTTTATGTTTGAAACATGCTTGATATAATTTTTCTTTGTTGCTTTGATGGGTGCCCACGCGCACTCCCACGTCTATCATACTATAAATATATGCTACGTGGTTCAATCATGAGATTTAGTTACATGGATTTTCTTGTATGAAATTATCAATTCATCAATTTGATAAAACTATGAACTACAAACGCAAAATGAGTAGTAGTCGGTCGATTGGATTTGCGAGTTCTTTTTCCTTTTTTATATAAAAGGCAAAAAGTAAAATAAAATCTTATGATCAGGTATCATAATTAGATCTAGACACGAGTCCTTACTAAAGAAAAAATGACTTCTCCAGCGAAGTTGAAAGCTGGGTTCTCCCATGGGCTTGTCACCACCACCTCTTTTCGATTTTTAGTGTAATGATGGGACACAATGGATCCGAATAAACCACAGGCTGTTTGGTCTGTTAGAATAGGTCTTATAAACGAAACTATCACCACCTTTTTGAAGGGCTAAATAACGAGACCTAATCTAAAAACCTTTGTTACCTGAGAATGCCACAATGAATCCTCTATTTTGGACAAATAAGGCATTTGTCCATATTGACGTATGAATGCTCTTGACTAGCAGCTTGAGATTGTTAAAATAATGCATGAACTACTGTATAAAATCACAGAAGGTCGTAAAACTCACCCAAGGGAAGACGCAGTTTGAATCAGTCTAAGGGCAAACTGAGCAAATCGCACAAATTGAAGCGATGCTCCATTAAAGTCCGCTTAAATCGCTGCGCTTATTACAAGGGGAATCCCTTGGTATCCAAGTGTAAAGTTTCTTAGTATTCGTTTCGACGTCATTTGCCCTGCCTTCTTAAAACTTGTCAACCCATACCTACTGCAGATCTAGCTCATCAGGTGGAAATTTTAACATTCCTATAAAATTTTTCGTTTAAAAAAAACACATGTTGATAGTTTTGTGAATTACCGAAATCTTAACAGATATGAAACCACAAACCTAATCTATATATATAGCTATACTGTTTATTGCGAATGACAGGTATTTTGTCTTATCGACATTGAGTGTAAGACCATTGGAATTTAGCCATGACGAGACCGTATCGAAGCCCTACTGAGTCGCATGAAAAAAATCTGTATAAGAGATTTCCACGTATATAGTCACTCATCACGATATCTCTGGAACCATTAGAGCTAAAGACTTGTTTGGTAGGAATATTCTTTTCACCGAGTAGAGGTCAGCTAAGAACGGATTTGACGAAATTGAAAAAAATATATATTTAAATAATGTAAATAGCAAAACAACGTTTGCAGGGTCAGCTAGTATATTATTAAAGTTATATTAAAATACCCTTATCATAATATTTTACGACATAGAACCTATCTTATTTCTAGTCACCTGTCTGCGTCTATCATTCTGATCACAACAATTATTTTCACGTCGTGGTTTCCCTAGTTTTTTCTGATTTGGGTTCAGTCTGACACCGTTGGAGGCAGGCCAGTATGCATTGTCCAAATCTATTTTTTTGCTGACGTCTGGCTAGTGGCCACTGACACCTGAATTCGCAAAATACTAATGTCTGGAAGTCTGTATTGTTATGCAAAATGAATTATAGGAATACTTCATAGGATGCAGACATATTTTGTGTTGTATGGTAAACACTCCAATATCAAGTTTGTGATTTTTGATACATTAATAGTATTTGGCCACTCTGAGAGAAAATACGAGCATTCAGATTAGGTAATAAAAGTTATATATCCTTAAGCCGATTTGTAATATCGTCCCGTGGTCTTTAACTAGGCGATTAGTTGTCGAGACGATATCCAACCATCATCGCCATCGTTAGTTTTCATTGTTTAAATGCCCCTTGCATTTATTTACATTGATGATGTATTAGTAAAGGTAATGTTAGCCTTGGTCATCAGAGCAGGCCACAAGCAATAGAATTCTTCCGTTAGTTGCGACAAGCCTGTTTCTATTAACTTTTAAGTTTCAGCGATTATTTCATTTAGAGCTGAAGCTGAAACTGTAAAACTACTTCAGCAGAAATTGGTTAATAAAATTCGTTTTTTTGGTAGAGATAATCATTTGTCTCTGTCTTGTTCGCATTTCCCTTGTCTGTTATAGTTAAGTTTCACCTTTGTCTTTGGGCGTGTTGTTGCTAAACACTTTTTTATTCCCTCTGGCATTGGCAACCATCCAATATTATTTATTTAACAGTTCTGTCTTTCTAAATATCACCATTGCATCGTGCAGCCGACTTCAAGGCTTACATGTCCAAGCTTATTTATATAAATTAACAAATATATATCATCTGGTTACATAAATGAAAGATTCAATCCCCATAAACTATTTTATGGCATAGAAAAGCAAACGAGTAGACGGGTCAACTGATGGTAAGTGACAAGGCAAGTTAAGGCCCTCCTCCCAATTAGGGGGAGTTTGGGCTCCTAGCTAATCTTACTCATTCGGTGAAAAACAATATAAGAATAATTTAACACCGGCTTTCTATGAGGCCGTGGTATCACTACAGACAATCCATCCCATTTGGACCGAAGCATGGCTCTCCCACGAAAAGCCTTTAGTTTTTAGCTGGTGCCCGCACCTTCGTTCGGGTGGAATTTGAAAAGCCATGCTGTAGTAGTTAGTAGTAAAATATTTTCAAAATCAGTCCAGCCATTTTGAAGATTATCCGGAACAAACAGATAGACAGACAAAAAATATTTAAACTGGTTTTTAGGCACAGGTATTGTGCAAAGAACCGTATAAAACGTAAGCATAATAAAAACCTACTCGTATTATTTTGACATTACAAACAGACATTTCAATATCATTTATTTGCATAGAATTCACCATAGATTTTTATTTGTGTTATTTTAAGTCATTTCCGATTATTGTATTCTAGTTTTTGTATTTTCTAGTATCTAATATCTTACGAAACGTTTATATCATTTTTGTAGATATTTAATTTTTGTATTCTGATGCTTATCCGACTACCCATAAAAGCGGGTTGGCATACGTTTCATCACTGAATTCTTCATAATGGCGATCATTAAAACCATCTTTCCAATTAAAAAGTTGTATTATTTTGTGCAGTTCATTTAATTTAACTTTATTTACGGGGTCTTCTTAACAAACCAAAACTATGCCCATTCTTTTCTGTAATAGCCTGTGTTTGAATAGATTTACTTTATTCATAGGTTTGATTTCTTTATGTAAAAAGCATACTAATCTTCCGTGTGTCAGTGTGGTGACGGATTAAGAATACGGATTGTCAACCCATTCATCCCGTGGGTGTCGTAAGAAACGACTAAGGGAGCCAACTATGCAGGACACCAGCACTGCAAATAGAAGGAAAACTAGACAAAAATCCTATACCAACCCGTTTGGCCAGCGTGGTATAGTAGGCCAAAACCTCCTTTCTAAGGAGAGGCCTATGTCCAGCAGTGGACTGTTTGATGATGATGATGATACCAATCTTTTGTTAACATAAGTAAAGATCATTTTAAGGACACCTATAATTTAATTTATAAAGCTTTATTAAGTCACATGTGTATGTTTAATGTAGCAAAGCGTGTGTTTATAATAATGTAGCTATTTTTGAGTCTATTTATATTTGGCAAGGGAATTCTCAATTTCATCTGAACTCAAAACTTATGCCCTCATTTTATCCATTCTTGCATTATCACTAATGAAACGTTTTGTACCTAATAAAAGTATCAGGGCATCTGTTTTGTGTGTGTATTGTATATAGTGTAAATGTGGGTCGTAACCCCTTCTAGGATCCGGAAATAAACACAAGTTTCTAACAAGAATAGTATCATTCAGTGTGCGGCATTTAATATTTTTGTAAGAACTGTGTGTCCATTGATTTTGTAGAGGAATTCATTACGAAAAGACCAAATGGCGTAGTGGTTTGTGTAACAGACTGCTATTCCAAAGGTCGCGGGTTCGATTCCCGCTCAAGTCAAACATTTGTGTGCATTTAATGTTTGATTTGGTCTGGGGGTTTCTACGTATAATTAGTATGTATTTACAAAAAAAATGTATGTATGTATTTATATCAGTTGTCTAGTACCCATAGTACAAGGTCTGCTTAGTTTGGGACTAAATGGCGTTGTGTGAATGTGGTAGAATATTATATTATTACATTTCTTCTGTCCAACATTTATATCATCCATATAGATCTACTGATTCCTTTCTATTTATTGACAATGTTCTATTACTAGTTCTTACTACGACAAATTGCAAAATGTATTTGATATTTCGTACTTATTTAAATCACATTAATATCTCTTGGCTCTTGGCTTAAAAACTTCACTTGACTTAAAAGTAAAGGATTTATCAATAAATTGTAAATATAAAATTCAGATATTTTTGTGAATATATATAACCTATTTTTAAACCTCCTTTCTAAGGAGAGGCCTATGTCAAGCAGTGGACTGTTAAAGGCTGTTGATGATGATGATGATGATGTACCTATTTTTTGGAGTGCAAATATTAAAAAGCCCAGAATGGCTATTTATTTGCCTATTAGAAAAACTTCTACAAAATCGGTATTTACACACATTGTCGTTATTAGCAAATAACGAATAGATTACAGCAATAATGGTGTGAAATTTCTTTCGATTAGTTGGCTCGATAGATAATTTAGTTGTGTTTGTTAGTTTATCAATATGTTGTAAACCCTAAATCTTAGAATGTCGGAACAAAAAGGTTTTCTTAAAATATTTTTTCTATTGTTACAGCGATGCACATGGTGGTGTGACACGGGGTTGACTAGATTTAACTCGCAAGATGTCGCAACCGCCACCGGGGCGAGGTCGCGCGCGACCCCCGGGTCACTCATCCCCCCTTCAATACCGTCCACCCTCACCATGGGCTCCCAGCCCGCCTCCGCTCATATCCGGGCCCAGGCACTCAACAGCCATAGTCACTCCCCCTCCAGTTCACCCATCTCCAAAACCCTTCAGACCTCTCCACTCCCCTCACACACTGCGACAACATTCACCGTCTCCTAGCTCTCATTTCTCCATCTCACCTTATCCTATGTCTCCGACCTTGGGCCAAAGTCCAGAGTATTATTACTCATCTCCTTACGAACCGGTTCGGGAGTACGATTACGCGGGAGTGCCGTTAGAACCTCCTCCGCCGCCGCGGCCCATGATATACGAGGAGGACGAAGAGGAGCGAGGTCCCTCTACGGCAGAGATCATCGCTCAACAGTCCCAGGAAGGCTACGTCGATGAAAAATTAGCAGAGTATCAAGCCACGATTCAGTTATTGCAAGGTAAGTGGTACTTTAAGCAGAAATGCATCGAGAATAAATAGAGACGTTTTCGTGAGTCACTTTTAGTCTTGGTGAGTAGCGCCCAGATATGTTGTTTTGGTCCCATTAAAATGATAATAGTGCGGTTTAGTAAGCGATAATTACCCCATAGTATTGTTCCTGGTTTCTACCACAAAATTTTGTTTTGCTTTGCCTCTCTTCACCAGCCATTTACGATCCATATTACTTAATAGAATTTATTTAGTAATATCAGATTAATATTACGGAACTGCTTCCATAAATAGTTTATTTTATGAAACTGAATTGAGTTGCAAACACTAGTTATGTACTCCATAACCGTCGGTTGCAGCTGTAACTTTAATTTTTATTTGAAAAACAAAGAACATACATAGACGTAGAGTGGAAAACAGTTTTTTTTTAAATGGATGTACTAATTGGAACCTAAATTTAAAATAATACAAGTGTTAAAAAATACTCTAGGACTTTTTACTTTTATTTAGTTCAGATTTTGAAAGCTTTCCAATCGATAAATAAAATAAATACAAGGACACTCGAGTTTTGATTGTATTGAAAATAAACGAAGGATCATCATTTATGGTTTCTTTTGCAAAACTGATTCACGATTATTTCCCCGAAACCTTGCTTAATGCAATATTTTTTTTGAATCGCAATGTTTACAGATTCTACTTCAGTTTTTAAAACAGTTCGCCATTACAAATATTGTATTTGAAGATTAGGTAATGTGATTGTGCTACAAAACATTTATTTTTAATAAACACTGCAAGTTTATGCTCTTTTGATGTGTTTATTTTTGACTGCACCTGTTGTGGTATTTACAACTAAGAAGCTATGCATCTATAAACACGTTTGAATATGTTTATGATTTGTCAGACTTGTTATTGGAATAAGACGTCGAGTACCTCGTTTATTTAGGAATGGAATAATTAGAATTGAGGTTTAAACTTTTTAGTATGCCCTTAAGTATTAGCAACACTTGCTTAATTTGAGGTGAGAAAATACAGATTTTATGCATTTTTAAACTGTGTGTAGTCTTTTGCATTACTGCCTGCGGCATTGCTGTAATTGTTTTCTTATTCCTGCTGAAAGGTACTGTTCTATCCCTTTGAAAAAAAACTGACTAAGCTATTTACGGAAGCGATTCCGTAATATTAATTTGATTTTACTAAATAAATCCTATTAATAAATATGGCTCGTAAATGGCTGGTGAAAGAGACGCAAGGCAAAACATAATTTTGTGGTAGAAACCAAGAACAATACAAAATAATATATAAAAAATAAATAAATTAATTCGTAGTTATTATCTTCTCGTCGTCGTTTCTTTTTTTTATGGTATAAGGGGGCAAACGAGCAGACTCCAGATGGTAAGCAACTACCGGCGCCCATGGACACCTGCAATTCAAAAGTCAGAAGTGCTTTGCTACTCTTGGAGTCCCTCTCGCTGACTCGAGCGGGACGGACTTGGAGGGATTTGGGCTTCGGTAACCTCACTCACTCAGTGAAAAGCAACGAAAGAATTAACACCGGTTTTCTGTGAGGCCGTGGTATCACGCCGGTCGAGCCGCCCATTCGTGCCGAAGCATGGCTCTCCCACGGTCGTTCTATTACATAGCAATACTCCTGCATCTGCTTCTATTTGCGTGTCCATGGTTGGAATATTTAAACCTATAACAACTTAATCAAAATTTTATGATAATCATTTGAGTTGTTAAGTTGATTTTGAGGCTTAATAAAGAAATAAACAAGTTAAAATACAAGCCTACTTTGGCAGTACAACATTATTAAATATTTAATCAAAAAATGAGTAAAGATTTTTGAGACATTCTCAGACATTCAGATCTTTAGTCCCGGTGAAGTTGTCACGAATATAGGCCGTGGTATCACATTGCAATACTTCTGCATATGTCTCTATTTGCGTGTCCATGGTAGGCTTTATTCTAAAATCGGCCATACACGTAACTGGTCATTTCTAAAATAGAGAGATAATGTTCTATATCTGCCTGTGACGTCGTTAAAGCGTAGTATCTGCCTACATCTGGTTTGGTTTCCAACGACCTCCTGTTTATACACCTTTATCCCAACTTTGGGAAATCATCATTATATGTATTTAGTATAGACATTAAATAAGAGAATGTAGAGATACACAACTGTCGGATACCATATTGAGTATTGAATTTCCCGAAATCGATTCATTCGAACTACAGCTTTGACGTCTGCTCGGTTTATTAATTTAGTCTTCACTAAGTGTTGTGGCACACCTGTGACCATAACTTCCATCATGTTATGGTGTCAAAAGCCTTACTAAAATCAACGAAGCAAACAAATAGTGGTATTGAACTCACACGCTTTTTTTGTCTTAGGTTGACAATCTGTTTTGAGAGATGTTAATAGTTAATAATCTGGTTAATTTCTAGACTTTCTAAATTGAAAAGTAGCGTTTATAGGTAAATTCATCTGGTCTTCTATCTAAATGTGGCATGAGCTCAATCGAGGAAAAGATTCTCTTCATTGATCTTATGAAAACTCATAGGTATAGAAGACCTATTATTTCACATGAGTCTACCAAAAAGAAAACTTTTTTTATGTTAGAGAGGGCAGACGAGCAGACGGGTCACCTGATAGAAAGTGACCGTCGCTGCCCATGAAAGTCTGCAACTCAGGAGTCACAAACACGTTGCCGGCCTTTTAGGAAGGATTACGTTCTTTTCTTGAAGGCTTGAAGGTCGTATCGGTACGGAAATACCGCAGATGATAACCCGTTCCACATATTGGTTGTGCGGGGCAAAATTATCTCGAAAACGGCACAGTAGTGGAGCGCCAACTATCCAGGTAATAAGGATGAAAATTTTGCCGTGTGGAACGATGGCGGAAATTTGCGGCTGGTATTAGTTTAGGTTCTCTAATAAGCAAGTAATCCAGCAGTAGGAAATATAAATTGATCCTCAAAAGAGAAGAGGCGCTTTTGCTTTTGTAAGTTTTCTATCAACATTTTCTAGGACAGATTGAAGTCATATTGCCACCGCAGTCAACCCAGCTACGGAAAAACTTTAAACATCTTACAAAACACTATCATCAAAGTAGAAACCAAGAAAAAGGGCGGCATATCAAACACTTTATGACGTAATTCATCTCAGGTCGTAAGTCTTGCTTATAATCAATTTCCCAACGTCAAAGTTTATAGTGCTACTGTGAACTCACTAACTCAGGTACTTTCATGTTATGTGCGGGTAATTTTAGCTCCTTTAGAACTAATTTTGGAACAATATGAACGGGTGATTCAAACCGAACTATCGTCTGGTCTAGGAACTTGAAATGTAATAGCGGGTTACGTAGGCGATTTGAAATGTCTCTAACATCTGGGAATATTTTTGTAGCGTTACGTATGATGGTCGATATAAGTTATGGTTTATGCATTATAATGTCGGTAGAACGTCAATTGTGGCTCTAAAAAAATTAATCGATATTGAGAGCTGCATTTTTTTTTGCGGGATGAGAAGGTTATATCAACTCGTAAAACATTATTTATTTATACATCACGAACTTTTGGTGCATTGGCGCACTTAATGCCTTAGGCATTCTCTATGAGTCAACCTTTGGTGGTGTACATTAATAAAGGCTAAAACAAACTATCATCTAAGTGTTAATAATATCATTCATTCCATATGTCGAAGATAAACTGCACTGTTTTAAGACGGCATATTCTGCATCGCACTATAAAAGTTTTTAAACTAGCTACTAAATATTAACCAGCTACATCTACCAGGTAATACCAGACAAATCCCGGTTAGAAAACTGATTAATAAACGTAAAACAGCATCAACCACAAGGCGATACCAGACAAATCCTCTTTCTTATGTGGGATACATAATCATCGATCATAATGACGATTATTGATTGAATGATAATGATTTTGACTATTAAATAAAGGATTATATGGTTTTACTCATGCAACATTTTAACAGAGTACCTCATGGTTTCGCAACTGGTGCCAAATTGTTGCAACTATATTGCTGTAGTTAATTATATAATTCAAATGGATTTTGTGTAGGTACTCACAACATATTTTGACTGTTAAATATTCAAAAGAGTACTGCTTTGGTTGTGTTGCTTTAGTGACTTCTGAGTTAAGTGTGATATAACATTAAAGATAAATGTCCTTAATGTGTGGCACTTATTATTCCATTAACGAAGCGAATGACTGGACTTTATTGGATATATTTAAATTTTTCCGTATTGCCTACTTAGAAATTTAAAATATAAATTTCTTTACAATATCTTTTATATTTTGCCAACATGTCTAAATGGCAATCATGTGGAAAATTGAGTAGTCGCAAACTGTCTTCCATTTACGTCACAACACCCACATACCCAAACAACTGTGCTAGCAACTTGCAAATTTAGCGATAAGAGAATCATTGATCGACCCAGCTTTACATCATTAACGTCGTAAATATTATTTGACTTGATAGGGTAGGAAACCCATTATAATATAGTATAAGTACATTCTGGTGTGTGGTGACGGATTAAGAATACGGAATGTCACCACCCCTATTCATCCCGTGGGTGTCGTAAAAGCCGACTAAGGGAACAAACTGCACAGAACAACAGTTGCAAAAAGAAGGAAAACTTGACACAAACCCTATACCAACCCATCTGGCCAGCGTGGTATAGTAGACCAAAACCTCCTTTCTAAGGAGAGGATTATGTCCAGCAGTGGACTATCATAGGCTGTTGATGATGATGATGATAAGTACATTATATAAACGAACATGAATCGTGAAATAGTGTACCCGGAGTAATATTTCTGTTAACCCTTTTTTTTTTTCCTGTGCGGAAATCCCCTCGGGTACCACCCAACGGTGGTTATGTCGGACTCGAACCGACCAGAAACCGCACGCCGTCTCGGGTACCAGTTGCCGGCGAACCAGGTGTACCCTAGGAAGGAAAACCCTGATACCCCGACCATCGGGGCCATCTACGGCGCGTAAATGACGCCCTCCTGTGTGGGAACCCCTATGTCCCC